ATGGATGGAACTAGAATCTGTTATACTAAGTGAGTTAACACAATCTCAGAAATATAATTGACATATGTTCTCCCTCATATGTGGATCCTAGGATCAGACTCTGATAAATAAGTATGCAAACAGACATAACTGCAGGAACCAGGACAAGGGTAAGGAAACAGTGAGGTAAAGGAAAAGAAATAACCTGAAGGAGAAGAATAGTAGGCAACAGGCCTAGATAGTTAGATTAAGGGAGGGGGGAGGGAAGGGTATACGAGGAACCTAGGGCATAAGGAGAAAGAAGCAGTTCAACAGAGGTAGGATCATAGGAGCAAGGGTATTAGTAAGGAAGAAGGGGGGGAAGTGGGGGCACCTTAAGTGGGAAAACCATGATAGAGGGGGGAGACGATACAAGAGAGAAACAATGCCTAGCTAGTCACGAAAACCAGAGGGAACCATATTATTCCTACAATCTACTGACAAATTATACATAACAGATCAAGAAATATATCTCTAGATAAGGTTTATTTGAGACCAACTGGTCATTACCCAAGATTTATCTGCAGGACACACAGTAATTAAAAATGCCAGAATGGTGGAACTAACCTTCTTGGATGTTTAACAGACATACCTTGAGATCTATACTAATTGGGTCAGAGGGATACAAAGGACACTTTTTGCTCCTTGCCCTCCTAGGTCGATTAGTTCCCAGGGACTATTAGCATCTCACAAAATGTCCTGTAATGGCGGTTGGTGAGCTGACCTCTTGATCAAGGAAGCCAAGGAGACCCCACCAGATGGACTTGAACCAGTGTCCAGCCTATAAAGAGGAGGGTCAACACGGAGGAATCATTTCCTCCATGCTTCCAAGAGAAGCCAACAATGGTCGAGCAGGACCTTTGACTTATCTTCACATAGATGGAACTGGTAAAAGAAAGGAGCCAGGGGCTCCTCCCAAACCCATGGGACCCCTGAGGAACAGATCCTCTAATGACCTCAAGAGTAAAAACAAATCAGTTTATCTGGTCCAACTGTATGTCCTTAAACACCCAAAAGGGAAGTATAACCAAAGATTAAAGGGGCCAACATAATATCATAAGAGCATATATATATATATAACTAAAAGTTACTCGACAAACAGCAAAGCCAGACAGGCGATACCTTCAGTCGAGTTGTTGGCCAGGATAGATAAAGGCTCTTCCAGACAGTAACCCAACATACTACTGGAGAAATGAACAGCAGACCCCAATTCTATCCAAAGGAATACTGACAATGGATTGCCGTAGATCAGGAACAGCTGATCCTCCTGGAACAGGGACCTCTGGCTGACTAGATTTACCAGAAGGGCAGACAGGGGGGAATGGATGAGGGTGCTGACAACACAGTGGACAGTGACAGGGATGGCAGAGTATGGAGCCTCTAGTGGGAGAGGAAGGCTATCTGACGAGTTTGTATTCATGCTCAGATGCCGAGGAGCTCAGAAGGTGGGTGACTGTGACCAGTGATAGTCATGTATATAGAGATTAGAAATGCATATGAAAACGTCTCAATGTCAATTGCCTTGGAATGAATTCTTCTGTATGAAAAAAAAAAAAAAAAAAACCAAGTATCTTCTTGAAGTCCCTCAAATTAAGGTAAAGAATAAGAACAAATCATTCTGGAAGAACGCAAAGGAAAATAGCTTTAGATATTTAAGTGACAATTGAATTTATTCTCATAATTGTTTTAATAGCTTTTGTATAATCTTCATCACTATTATGAGATATAAAATGTATTTATCAAATCTGTAATCATTATGCCAAAAAATCTGAATTACTGTAACATTTTGTATATTGTTAAATCTGTAACTTTAATTGTAAAAAAAAAATTAAAATAAAAAAAAATAAATAAACAAGGGTCTGCAAGATGGCTCAATGGGTAAAAGTACTTGCCACTAAGCCTGATACAACCTACTTCCATCCCCAGGACCCACACATTGGAAAAAGAGAACTGACTCCTGCAAGTTGTCCTTTGACCTTCACACATAAGGCTTTGGCATGAGTGCACATATGTGCACACACACGCACACACAAATAAATGTAATTTAAAAATTCTTAAAAATAAGCAAATGATGAATATAAAATGTTTTCAAAAGAAAAACAATAAAGAATCAAATTAGAATCCTTTAGCATATGAATAATTTTCTTCCCAACGAATAAGCAATTTATATAGGCAATATTGGGCCGAAATTTTGTGACCAGCAATGTTTTTTTGTTTGTTTGTTTGTTTGTTTGTGGCACAGAGTCTTGCTATGCAGCCCAGGCTGCCCTCATGCTTAGAATCCTCCTCTCCTCCTTCCATCTCCCTACTGCTGGTATTATAGATATGGTCTACCATACTTGGCCTTGACCAATAAATTTTCAATAGCAGTCATCCACGTGTTATGTTCAAAGGACTCTTCAAAACAATAAAACTTACTTTAGTCTACTCTATGACAACACTATTTTTTAGTATACCTTGGCAATCTAATTCATTTTGTTTTATGTGGATTTAAGTTAAGAAAGAAAAATTTAATATGTTTGTTAAAATGCTAAAGTTTTATTAGCAGATACATTCTAAATTGGTCTGTTGAAAAAAGTATATGAATTTACCCTATTTTGATATTTGAATATATCATTTAATTAGCAATATTTGTATACATCTAAAACAAACTAAGAAATTACATCAGGTGACCTAGAAATTAAAGCCAGTTTATCTACTTTAGACAATATCTGGTAATATTTAAGTGGCCCAATAAGAATATATAAACTTAGGCACATTAAGGATGGTTTGTTTAATGTTACAAAGTTTATAAAGAGCAGAGTTGTAGTTCAAATACTGTCCACCTTGCTGGAAAGTGTATGTTCTTACACATTGTAAGAATGTAGTCATGAGGAACATGGAATTTGGGGTGATCTAAGTCTGTGTTCCTGGGCCATGGTCACTCATATTTGGCTCCAGAATAAACTATCGTTTATCCCCATTTGAGATGAGAGTAATGCTTTTTGCATTGATAATGCAAAGCATTCACACAGGTAAAACAGTATTTGTTTTTAATTTGTAATAAAATAAAATCGGTTTGTATTAAAAAAACACTGCAATGTACAGGGTGATTATTTTAATGAAAAAAAATTAAAAGAATGTAGTCACACACTGGAAGACTCCACACTTAAAGCAACTCTTGTAGAGGGCCTGGATGTACTACGTCAGACAGCTCAAAACTACCTATTATTCCAGCTCTAGAGGATCTGATGCCTCTGGCCTCAGAGGGCACCCATACACATGTGACATACAAAGACACCTATACATAAATAATTATAAATAAATAATAAATTCATCTTTAAAATAAATGAATTTTTTAAAGAATATAGTCATCTTTCAAAGATACTCTTGAAAATTATTTCAAGGTGCATGGACCTTTGCATACACTTGAGGCACAAAAACCTTTATTTAAAATGTGAAAACTAAAATGAAAACACACAATAATGAACCCATACTTCAGTTCTGCTATTGTCTAGCTGTACACTTTAAGTGCTTTTGAGATTCAATTTCACTTTGCTTTAACCCTTTAACTAGGACTTAAATAAATGCATATATAGTTGAATGAGAAGAAAATCATATATGGAGTTAGGAAAACTTGAAAATTATACATGTAAATAATACATTTTCTAGAAAAGACAGGCTAATATTTAAAGTCCTTTTAGTGTAGCAACATAATAAAATTAATCTAAAGGATAGGTCCTTTATGATCCCTGTTTTCCAAATAAGGAAACCCAGGAACCGTTAAGTAATCCATCCAAGGTTCTGCACCTAGAAAGGGACAGACAAGACTTCACACTCACAATGTTATTGTACTGAACACATAAATACCACAGCCAGTCACACAAGAAAGCGCCAACACAATATTTCCCAAAAACACACATTCCTTACCCTATCAGAACATATATCAACAAATTTTATAATTTATTGCAATGAAATTTCTCCTGAAAAACATAAGCAATGTCAATGTCCATCACCTTTATAACTGTATTTCCAGTACCTAAGCACAGTGCCTACCATGTAAAATATAAGCAAAATCATTTAAAAAAAGTTACTATAGTATCACATAAAAGCACTACTAAGATAAGTACCATAAACAAGTAATAGCTAAGAGGCTTCAGGATAATCAAACGTTCAAATGTTATTACAATAACATGTAAAAGCAGTATGCTCCCTTTCATTAAAAAAATTAAAATTTCAGAGCTGGAGAGATGACTCAGCAGTTAAGAGCACTGGCTGCTCTTGGAGAGAATCCAGGTTCAGTTCCCAGCACCCGAATGGCAACTAACAACTGTAACTCCAATACTAGGGGATCCAACACCCTCTTCTGACCTCCATGGGCATTCCACAACACAGGTGCACTCACAAACATGCAGGCAATATACTCATAAACATAGAATAAAAATAAAAGATTTTTTAGAAGATTTTTCTTTCCATTTAAACAAATAAAAAAGAAATATTCAAAACTTAACAGGAAAACTATGTTTGGGGGCAAGCCAGATGGTTCTACAGGTTTAGCACTTGCCATGTAAGCTTAAAGATCTGAATTTGATCCCCAGAATCCACATAAAGGTGGAGGGAGAACCAACGCTACAAAGTTGTTCTCTGACCTCCACAGACATACTGTGGCATGTGTGTGTGTACATACATAAAATATTTTTTTAAATAAAGTTTCAAAATAAGTATGTTTAATTTCTACAACCCATCACAGTGTAAAAACTACATGTCATATGTAGAACAACCATGTGATGGGTAAAAAGGAATAAAAATTAAGTATCTTCAAAACTAAAGCCTCTGATTTTCTTAATCTGGGGTTCTATTAAGTTTCTATATTTAAATGCTAATTTTTATATACAGGAATTTTTCCCATACCAGATGCATAATACCTTTACTACAACTACCATAAAAGCCAGTAAGTTCTGGGGATAGAGAGATGGCTCAGTGGTTAAGAACACTGATTGTTCTTGCAGAAGACCCAGGTTCAAATCCTAGCACCCACATGGCAGCTAGCAACTGTCCGTAACTCCAGTTCCAGGGGATCCGACAGCCTCTTCTGTCCTCCGCGGGCATGGCATGACATGGGTGCACTTGCCTACACACAGGCAATACACTCATACACATAAAATAAAATAAAAAAAAATTTAATTAAAAAGAAAAAGCCACTAGGTTCAATATTAAAGGTTAAGAAATCAAGGCAAATGCATAATTTATGGAAAATATACATATTCTCTTGACATTTACTCACCAGAAATATCCATGAATGCACGATCCCATAATTCCCCCACAGTATAGCATTCTGCAGAAGTGATGTTGACAGAAAGGACGATATCATCTTCGACATATTTTAGTATGAGATTATTTATAACAATGTTTACATTATTTACAACTCGTCTAATCAGACTCTGCACATATCCTGTAAAGACAAAAAGAACCAATTACCACAAGCCTACCAATAAATAATTCTCTTGAAATTTAATGTACATAAAAGATGAGTTATTATTTTAGCATATTTTGGAAAGAGGAAATTAACATTTGGATAAATTAGATTGGCCAGAGCTGCATAGCTAGTAAATAGCAGACAGTCAAACATAGACATTTAGCAAGATACTCCATATGAAACATGAATGAATGTATTAAGAAGAAACATGGAGACCATCTTTTTAATAATATAACATTAGACTCCATACAATTACTGTATTCTACAAGTACTTTGTCTGGTTTCTGCCTATTTCATGTACATTTTTTTAAAACAAAACAGCTAATTGTGGTGTCACACACCTATGTTCCCAGGTACTTTGGAGGCTTAGGCAAGAGGAAAGAGAGTTCAAGGCCAGCCAGGGCTACAGAGCAAGAACTAATCTCAGAAATAAAAAGAGCAAATTTAAAAAAAATTTAATGCAGCAATATTATCATATGATTCTATGCAACTCATTCAAAGAAGATTAGTTTCTTTAAGCTTCTTTTTTAAAGTAACTACCATCATTCTATTCCTTTCTGTTCTTAAAAATATCTAAAAGTTATGCCTCCAGTAGGAAAAATAGGAAAATGACCATTCTAATGTACTCAATTACTTCCACTTCTTAACATGCAACAGTGAAACACAGTAGAGGAGAAACATGAATGTAGTTAAAATAAAATAAATTAAAAAAAAAAAAAGAAGAGTGAAAGAAAGATTTAATGAATAAAGGTAGAAATACAGGTAGGAATACAAGTGAGAATACAGGTGAAATACAGATAGAAATACAGGTGCAAATACAGGTGGGAATACAAGAGGTGAATGAATACACATGGGAAGCACTAACATTAATTAAGGACCTACTGGCAAACAATAGCTGCTGGCTGGGAGAGGGAGAGTCAGTTTTAAGGATCTGATGCTAGACGCGTTAACCAGGCTCCAGTGGATGGACCCATACTGAAGGACACTATTTGAGAAGACAAATTTTAATCAATAAACTTGATATATGACAAAGTACATGAAACTGGGTAGGGAACATTAACAGGACTGAAGAAGATAGGGAAGGGGGTCTAAATATAATCAAAATCTATTGCACGAAATTTGCAAAACCTCAATTTAGGTCCCCAGGAACCCTCAGGGCCTGGTCCTGCCCTCACCTTACTCTGCTTCCCTGGGCCTACACAACCAGACAGCCTCTCTCCTGGATAAATCCATCACGCACGAAATTTGCAAAACCTCAATTTAGGTCCCCAGGAACCCTCAGGGCCTGGTCCCGCCCTCACCTTACTCTGCTTCCCTGGGCCTACACAACTAGCCAGCCTCTCTCCTGGATAAATCCATCACGCCCTCCCCGCCTTGACTCCCCGAGCCTCATTCACCCTCCCATCACCCCCTACCTGTCTCTCCTCCTAGCTAGGGTACGGTCTCGTTCCTTGCCTTGGCACCCCAAACAATGGGGGAACCACCACTGCTTCCTGATCCTTTGCATCCAGACCAACCCAGTTCCTTCTTGCAGTCCCCAGGAGCCCTCTGGGCCTGGTCCAGTCCTCATCTCCCTCTGCTTCCCTGGGCTGCACAACCCACAAGCCTCTTTCCTGGAAACCGGGGCTGACCTCTCGGCTTCCCGATCCTTTGCATCCAGACCAATCCAGTTCCTCCCTGCAGTCCCCAGGAGCCCTTGGGACCTCTACCCACTCCCATTTCACTTTGCATTTCTGGGTGGCACGGCCACCAGCTGCCCAAGACCAGCATTTTTCCTGGGCCCTCCTACCAGGCCAGTCCAACCCCCAAATTCCTGAGGACATCTTTCCTGGAGGGCCTCTGTGGGAACTCCTATAGACAAAAGCACTCTGGCCACTCCAACATAAAATCAACAGAGAGAACTGGAAGCTAAGAGGAAACAGCTTTTCATGCCCAAAAAGTAAACCACAAAGACAAATAAAGTTCACAAAAAGAAGCACACCTAAACTTGAAGGCTTGAATCTCATATATGAATCAGAAACTACAAAAGAAATTCACATATCAAAATCACAGAGAAAAAATTATAACATGAAAAACCAAAATAACATATCCCCACCAAATACCAATAGTCCTCTAGAGGAATACAATGAAAACCCCCTAGAGATAATGCAGGCCATGGAACTCAAAAGAACAATCATAAACATGATAAAAGAATTCAGTGAATTTAAAGAACACACAAACAAAGAAATTAAAGAACTGAAGGAAGATAGGGATAAACTTCTGAATGAATTCAGAAAAGAGTTAGAAATATTGAAGAATAC